TTTTTTTTCTTTTTTGGGTGAAAAGGCAAATTTCATTACTCTTGATTTTCTCCCTTATCCAAGCTATCTCCTCCCACAATTTCACTGACAATCTCTTGCTTTATGTATTCACATATAAGGGACCCCTCCTCCCCCATCCTGTCTCCATCTCTCTTCTAAATCACAAAACAGCTAGCATCAATTTACTCAAACTAGCATTAGCTAATATTTTTTTTTTCTAATAAGATAGTGTTTTATATTTAGAGACGAGAATTCATTAAGGCTTAAAGAAGGAGAGGAGAAGAAAAATTAGAATTATTTGGTTGGGTTTGGTTTATCGCATTTAACTATGCACTAACCATGATTAAGTTGGTTGATCATGGTGTTTAATTGTTGGCACTTGACATGCTGACAAGAGGAGGATAGAGACTGATTTGAGGCAAAAACCAGCAACTAAAGACAGTCCACTGCTTGGGGGATGATTAATTACCAGTCATCACATTAATCATGCTCAACCATGGTTTAAGCCTGCCTAAACCGAATCAAATGACCTGAACATGGCGCAAGGTAATTTTTGGTCTTTGGTTCAGGTATTGTTCAAGTCCGAATCAAATGACCTGAACATGGCGCAAGGTAATTGTTGGTCTTTGGTTTAGGTATTGTTCAAGGGAACAGATAGAGTAAGCCAATTTGATCATTTGCATGGGTTAAACTTAACTGCACTCAAAAAAGATCAAGCTGACCAATTTGACCCATTTGCATGGGTTAAACTTAACTGCACTCAAAAAAGATATTACCCATTTGACAAAATCAGTCAAATCCATGGATTAATTAGGCTGACCAGGGTTAAATCAAGTTAAGGACAGTCTAGGGTAGCCCCAAGTTCAACTAATTGGACTACATTGCAGTTTAAGGACAATTTGTACACTAATTTGGCTTCAAGTGGATTAATTGGATTTAAATGATCCATTCAATTGCTCAAAAGTATTCCTAAAAAAAAAGTCTACAAGCTCCTCCTAGGTCAGCCTACGATAAGGGCTGAAGCTAGACAATACTAAGGAGGAGCCCATGAATGAACTAAGAAATAAAATTTGAAACTAAACTGGTAAGGAGGAATAGTTTGAAACATCTTTATGAGTATGATGAAGGTAGAGCAAATGTTGATAATGTGATCAAGTTCAAATGACTGAATTTGAGAAAAAGCAAAGCCAAATCTAAGCTTGAATGACAACTTAGACCAATCATGTCCAAGGCCAGGACTTTTTTCTACTTTATATTAAAGGTTATTGAAATTATCTTATGAGAGGATAGAACATATACAAGAGCAAGTTATCTAGATAGATAGGACGATAACATTTACCTTGTACAAGTCATTAGAGGCCCTTTCAAAAAAGCTACAAGTGCAACAAGAATTATTGAAATTAAGCAAAGTCATAGGTTGTCGAACATAATATACTGCACAACATAAAATGAAGATAAATTTCAAAAGAATCAAACAGAGAAAGTAGCTCAGCTCCTGCAGATACTAAAACAATTACAAAGTGCAGTCAATCAAATAATCTAAGCACTTCCACCAAACAGCTAGCACACGCACTAGAAGTAGCAGTAACTTTCCAAGAAGCAATGCAAGTGCCTACAAGAATATATATTACTTCAATTCCTACAAAATAAAATCAACATTGACCTCATAATATATCATTGGCATGCATATTTGGCCACATCACACTTCGAAAGCAAACAGTTTTTTGGTCTAAGGATGAACAATTATATTGTAGAAATATCTGTGAGATTACAAGAGAAAATCATATGTGAAATGGTTGACAAAAGATGTTGGGCTTAAAAAATCAAGAAAAAAATAAGAAAAAAGTATTGCCTAAAAACCCCCACTACCTCGTCAGTATATTGGCATCCTTCATGTCTGGCAGTGGTTGAATAATCATGCTATTCGAGCTAAAATCATTATGCATGCCCGGACCTACTCTTGCTTCACATCTAATCACTTCATCAACCCAATTATGTTGTTTCGCCCATCCTTCATCATTATCCATATGTTGCTTGTCTACCCCATGATTATCAAGGATAGCATATATGATCTGCACCAAACAAATGAAAACCACACAATTGTAAATTAAAACTTTATAAAAATTTTTAATCTAAATCAAAGCAAAAGAAAGACTAGACATTCAGGCTGCTTTATCGGATTAGGTGAAGTTACTAGCAAGCAAAAGCTATACACAAATTTCAAACATATCAACCAATCAACATTAATTGATTTATAAAGAAGATTATTCTATAAAACATATTGACACGTTTGAAAAAAAAATTATCTTCACTAGGACAATGTCAAATTAGTTGGTGAATTTATTTTAATCACCTTCTTCACCAACTTATTTTAATCACCTTCCAGTATATATATCTTCCCAGAAAAATGTCACAGATCGCAGTGAAGTAAATTTTGCAAATAAGATCATACAAATTCGATCAAAATTATCTTAAATTGATTCTAAAGATTGGAAACAAATATCACATGGTTTAATGGCTTATTTCTATCACTCAATTTATGCATCAACAATTATTCCAACTGATTCATTAATAAAATGCAGAGACTAAGTTCAGCAACATTCAGTCCGACAATAAGCAACTAAGTTTAATTATTCTGGCTATCATCCAATGTAGAATATATAAAGACATTTAGCAATTTTAAACTCAAAAATTGAAGCCCAAACCCTTCTACTTTACAAACATGAATAAACATAGTCTGAATTGAGTATGAGAGGACAACCAACTGAATCCTACCTCGTCAAAATCAGAAAATATGTATGAATATTCAGATATAAACCAAATCTGCAATGAAACAAATAATAATAATTACAACTCACATAGCAAAAACATATTTGGATAAAATTCCAATTTCAAATTTAAGATTGGATTACAGAAGAAGATATACCATGGATGACAAGCATTGAAGGCTTGCAGCTACTAGTTGATTATTATGTTCCTCTCCACCCTCTCGTGCCAGCCTACTAACCTTGAGAACAATACTCTCAATACAGCATGCGTAAGTACCATCAGCCTGTTCATTTTAATAATCAGAGAATTAGTAAAAAATTAATCAAAAGGAAATTGAAGGAGCGTTCAAAAGAATCTATGAACTATGTTAAAACATATCAGACCTTTATAAGAGAAAGGAATCCAATCTGCTCTTTTAATTAGATTAGTATAACATGAATGAGATAAGAATAAGAAAGCAATCAAATGATTGACTGACCACCAAGTCATACTAGCAAAGTTTATAATAAATATATGCTATATGGAAGATATGGAGAGCGTAATAGAAGTAACCTAGGTTGTCTCTATTGTGTAATGAAGGGGGGGTACAAGTTCAAGTCATGTCCACGAATCAATTAGTCCATAAACCTCATCTAGGAGAGAGGCATATGAATTGCTACAAAGGGTGTCATAGTCTTGCCTAACTTGTTGTACTTCCTTTAAAAGCAAGAAGTTGATGCTCTTGCCCATGGTTGGACTGTGATCCCAATGACCATATAAGCCCTGGGTAATCCAATGTAAACCTAGTAGTTCACTAATAAAACTAATCAACAATGCCAACAATTGCAGAATGCTATATGTAAAACCTTGTCGAATAAAATAAAATAAAAAAAGCAAAAAATTTTAACCCGTTGTGTCAATTTGTGTTGTTAACGAAGGAGTTAAAGTGGAATAGTCTGATAGGAAGGTGAAGCAAACAGTCTTTACTACTTATAAGACAGACCAAGGGTGAAAAATTTGACGGCGAAACGAAAAGGAGATAAATAGCATGCTTGAGAGAACAATAAGGAAGCATTTTCACTAAAGTGAGGTTGAAAGTAGGAGAGGGAGAGCAGCACTAGCAACTTATAGCTTGGCCAAGCATGCAGGAGGGACTCATTCCTATCATGAGAAGAAGCAAACGATCGAACGTTTCGGAAGAAGACAACATGAATAAGCTGAATGGATGATATCATGTGTGGGAACATTAAGCGAGCATGAAGATGATGCATGGAAATTGCGTGCGAATGCAAGAGGGAACATCATGCGATCTAGTGAGAAAAAAATGAGAGCCGGGCATGTTGAGCTCGAGTGAATCAATTTCGATTTTGCATAATCAATTAAGGTAAAATTTAGATTGAAGTTTTTATTTTAAATAAAAAATCAATAAAAATATTAAATCTAACAAAAAATCATATTGAGTTAAGCAGACGAGCGAGAACAAGAGTAGTGTGCAAACTCAAACAAGATGATGAGCTTGAAGTAAGCGTTTGAAAAACAAAAGAAAAGTTTAATTATCTCAACAGACCAGGGAAAGTTTCTACTTAGACTTTTCTTATGAATGAACTTCAAACCCTAAATCAAAAATGTGAAATAAAAATTATCGTGGCATCAAAGATTTTAATTTAAGGGGTACTCATACATATAAATTAGTTAATGTCATATGTTAATTTATAAATCGTATAGTAAAATAATTTAGAGTTTGAGAATTTAAGAATTTCATTTATATTAAACATATAAAATGTTTCTAAGTTTACTAAAAATCTTATATAAAAATTGATATTTAATTAAATCAATTAAGAATTCTTTAAGCTATTAAAAAATGGAAGATATGAAAATATTAAATAATTTTTTATGATATTGAATAGAAAATTAAAATTATATAACAAAATGTTAAATAAAACATCCAAATTTTATGTCTATAAATCAACGATAGATTTTTTAGTAAATAAAATAATAATAATGTTATTAATTAATATATTTAAGTATTGAAAAAATAAAATGAATCAATGAAATTAAATTGAAAATTAAACAAAGTTAATTAATAAAGATATTTTATATACATCATAATAGATATTCGTTAAAAAATGAAAATGAGAAAATAGACATTTGTGATCGAGGCAATGTCTATAACTCGAGGGCAAGGAAGTCAATTGCGATCGAGGTAATTATTCATGTCCTAACTTATAGTGATATTGTTTCTTTTTCTAAATCTAATGAATTAACGATTGTTATCTAATTAAATATCATAGCAAGTTTCTTTATGATTTCTCTACTTTGAAACAGATTCACTACAAGAAAACTGCAGATTAGCGTCAGAATTAGCGGATAAAATTTTAAATCAAAATTAGTGTTTGTCTAGTGTCTCGTGTTGTTTTAAACTTTAATGGGTTGATACAGTCGATAGCTTCAAGTTGGCGTTTATGATTTCTCTACTTTGAAACAGATTCACTACAGGAAAACTGCGGATTAGCGTCAAAATTAGCGGATAAAATTTTAAATCAAAATTAGCGTTTGTCTAGTGTCTCGTGCGGTCTTAAACTTTAATGGGTCGATACAGTAGATAGCTTCAAGTTGGCAACGCTAATTAGACGCATTATTGTCGCCACTGAGCAAAGCTAATTATACTTATTAGCATCGGCACTAGCGGACGCTAATGCCCCAACCTATTTACTGCCCGAGCCGCTGTTGAAACTCCTCAATTCTTCCCTTCGATAAACTCGTCTCCTCCGACGCTTCTCCGTCCCCAACCTCCTTTTAATATGATTTCGGCTCTTGTCCACCTCTCTAACTTCATCCAAGGTAAGAATTCATCATCCACACCTCCAAGCTTCGGTTTTACGTAAGTTTTCTTTTTTTTTTTTTGTTAGATTTGGAATGCATAGGTATTATATATGAAAAAACGTATGCATTGCTCAATTTTTTTTTCTTTATTATATAAGCAATCATATTGATTAGATGGTTTTTCATAAGATTTGAGTGTTGTGTGCTTAAAAATAAAAGTTTAGGTGTGAGATATGTAAATACATAAGAATGTTGTGCTATGTATGTAAATGCACCAAAAAAATTTGAGTGCAGTGTGGCCAAAACATATAAGTTTAGGCGTGAAAATGTAAATACAGAAGAATTTTGTGCTACGTACATAAATGCACCCAAAAATTTTGAGTGTTGTCGCCAAATAAAGTAATTTAGGTGTTAGAATGTAAATACATAAGAATTTTGTGCCAATGTATGCAAGTGCACAAAAAGAATTGATACATGAGTCCTATGTGTCCAAATATAAACCTTTAGGTGTGAAAATGTAAATACATAAGAATTTGTACATAGTTATATTAGAATTTAATGTTATGTGCTATGTGCCTAAATACATGCTTTTGGCTTGCGTGTTTGTTTCTCTTGTGTTAAAGATTTATGGTCAGTTGTTTTGGGTTAAGAGGTGTTATGTGTTGCGCGCCTAAATACATGCTTCTGGCTTACGTATTTGTTTCTTTTATGTTAAAGATTTATGGTTAGTTGTTTTAGGTTAAGGGGTGTTAGGAATTTTTTTTATGTTTAGTATTTAAGAATTTAGGGATTTTGTAATCAGGAGTAAGTTTTTGCATTTAATTTTCAAAATTTAAGGGTTTTAATTCATGTATTTAAGGCCTATAATTTAATCACATCAAAAAGTAGAGAAAAATACGGGCAAACCAACATTATTCTTCTCTGACGCTAAAATTTCAACTCGTGCATTAAAATACAAATTTTTACTAGTTTGAAAGTTCTAATTAGATCGCCCTAAGATGGAGATTATGGAAGATTTTTCAAGATTTCAAACTAGTTGGGGTTTGAAGGTGGATCTTTTTGACGGAAGATATGTTATGATACAGCTGAGCATAGAAGAAGATTACACAAGAATTTCATCGAAGAAATTCATCACAATCGAGTGCAGTCGTATAAAATTGCTCAAATGGACCCCTGATTTTTATCTCAGTCAAGAAGCCCCAATTGCGCATATATGGTTCTCATTACCTGAACTCAAGTTTCAATTCTTTGACCAACCTATCTTATATGCAATTGGGACTATCCTTGGAAAACCTTTGCAGCTAGATACACCTACAGTTCATTTCTCAAGGCCCTCTATAATAAGAATTTTGATTGAAAATAATATTATACTACCAGATGTTGAAGACGTTTGGTTTGTCTCTGCTCATAATGGTTACTGGCACCTACAGTTCATTTCTCAAGGCCCTCTATTATAAGAATTTTGATTGAAAATGAATAAGAATTTTGATTGAAAATAATATTATACTACCAGATGTTGAAGACGTTTGGTTTGTCTCTGCTCATAATGGTTATTGGAAAAAAATCATTATGGAACAAAAACTCTACTACTGCAAGCACTGCAAGATGTTTGGATACCCGTAAGAGAAATGGTTAAACACAGGAACATGTTGTCAGTGCACCCCACGTGCCTGAACGCGCTCCCAACAAACCTGATGACAGCCAACCTGAGAAGTGAATCACCACAAGACTAAAAATGGTGTCTGCCCCTGGGAACCCTTCTCTTGACCAGACAATAAATGAAAATGTTCGGACCAAAAGTCAGGATAGCCCTGCAGGTCCTATTCAGGAAGCATTAGGTGCAGAGGTGACAATTCACACTTCACATACACTGGAACCTATTTCAACGATTATCTTTCTTTTTACTGCGGTTCTAATATCTAATCAGACCGAGGATCACATAAGTTAGTTTTCAGATGAATAATGGCAGGTTTACACTTCTCGGCGGAAGAAGAAGGCTGGGCGCACACTCCAACTTGGAAAATTAATGGATGATACTTGGTTACTCCTGGCAAAGGCACGACACTTCAAAGTTTGTTATCTTGCTCTGCTCCTAAAACTAGAGGAAGAGGCAGGACTAAACTGGCTCGTCCCTAACTACTTGCTTTCTGCATGTTTTAATTTCTTTTGAGTCTATCTATATCCTTTTGTCGGGATAGTACTGTACTTGGTATCGTATTGGTAGGGTGTCTCTATTGAGTCCTCTTCATACAGCATTTATGTATCTTTTCTATTTCAATAAAATCAGCCATTGGGCTTTTAAAAAAAAAAATCAGTTGTATGTTATATTACAAGGAAGATGCACTGGAGATGAATTGTAGATTTTGCATTGCTAATAGTTCAAACTAGGGGGATAAAGAGTAAAAATTAGAAAAATATTCCATACAAACATCTCTTTTACTTTCCTCTCATTTCATGGCTTTAGGTTTATTTGCTTCTATG